TTGCATTTCACCCCATTGTCCAAATCGCTGATGAAGAAAGTGAACAACGCAGGCCCAAGGACCGAGCCCATACTACCATATAAGTCATGACCATCACCATCTCCAGGATTTCACATATTTATTAGCCTTTACCAGTTGTTATTTCTCACAGGGAGACTGGGAACCACTCCAGAAAAAAAAGAAAGATGACCCAGGGAAAACTGAGCCATTTCCTCACATGTAAATGAGACAAGCAATACCAATCTATTTCACATGATGCTGTGAGGCTTAATATGTTTATTTGTTAACAATGTTTATAAATACTAAACGCTTTGGAATCTACTCATGGAAGGCAGCAGAGAAATGTAATGAACTCAGTTAAGTGTTTTCTAACATTTCTGCAGGAAACTACTACTAACCAAGGAAGAAAAATCTTTTAAGGTTCTTCCCCATCCTCAAAGCCAGTAGTTTCTCTTCATCCTCCCAACAAAGCCACTTTGAAATGCAGGAGAGGGGGGAGATCTACATCTCTCTTCTTGGCTGATTCAAACTATTTAATTATTTCTAATAATGACATTCTTTTAGAAAGCACTGAAGATAAAAGATTGTTCAAATACATGTAACAAGCCAAAGTAACCATGATTGTCTTATTTTATCCAGCACAAAACTGTGAACCCTAAGGGCATTCAAAAGGCATGAGCCCAGGTCCCCAAATTTAGGAGCCAGTCTTAAAAATAATTAGAATTTACAAATTAAGTGTCCTACATATATTTTTTAAATTTGCCCTTTTCTTTAGCCTTTTGGAGGGACTTGCCTGGCTTCAGACCATGCAGGAATATTTCAGGATCAAAATTCAACATAAGATGGTGCAACACAGTGAGCTTCTTCACTGGCTTCCTCTCTCCTAAACCCAGTAGCGAGCAAACTGACATATTATTCATTCCCCCTCCACGTCTTCCCCCTCAAAGAGTCTCCTCCTACATTCATATTCCCTGTCCCTACATACTCACTCAGTAGCCTTTACATTCACCCAGCCCATATATTTGCTCCCTTTTCCTTCACAATATTCTAGCCTTTACCCTCCTCTTTGCCAAACTCCCTTCAAGTCCCTCCCTCCTGCACTGTCTGCTGCACCCTCCACATTCCTTTACAACCCTGAAATTGCATCCTGCACCTTATGTTCCCTTGTCTGTATCTCAGTCTTTCCCTGCACCCACTATACCCCCCTGCTCTGCCTTCAGACTCCTCCCATGCACTCTCAAAATCCCTGGTGAACACCCCTCAACCTCCCACTGCTCCGCTTCAAGCTATCTGCTCAAAGTTTCTTGTACGTTCTCATTCCCCCATCCCATCGATCCTGAGATAGCTCTTGGAAGCTAATGCATAGACTGATAACTTACAGTTCTCATTGCACGTATAAAACACTGTTTGTGTAGGAAGTTATCTTTGGGTTCTAGTGCTGCTGGCTCCTCTTCCCTCTTCTCAGCTCTGCCCTTAATACTGTACCCCATACTTGCTGGTGCAGTTACTTAGTTTGAGTCTGTAGTGGAGTTCAGAGAGAGCTTTCCCATCCTTGTAGGCTTTTTCTCTCACCCAGACTGGCCCATAACTTTCTTCCCTCTGGGTTTTTTTTCCTTCTTCACATAGGGAGAATATATACACACAGGAGCTTCTTTTGACTTGCTTGCAAACTGCTCTTGTTCTGATGATTGGTTTGATTGCCTTTCTACTTATACTAGGACCCATTATTAAATCTATTACTTCTGCAGGGTTATTCCCAACTACAGCTTAATGTTCCTTCCTTGCCTTATTTAGTGTTTCAATGGTAATTCATGTTTATAATATGCTGTAGAATACCTCCCATCCCCTCCTATTCCCCTTTCTGGTGCAGAATGAGACACAGCTCTCCCTCAACATCCTGCTAAGAAATATTATCAGAACAGAAATGACTGGACTAGAAGAGGGAATGGCAAAAAAATTCTGTGTGCCTTGACTACTCTGAAACACTGTATGTTAAAGCAGTTCCTGAACCACAGCCCAGATAACTGGAGACACAAAGATACTGCTCCTCTCCCCTCCTTCTGGATGGTGCCTTCTATGCTAGTCACAGAATGAAGCCATGAGGCCCGTGGGTACCCTAGTGCAATTTGACATTTCAGTTTGCTGCAAACTTAGACTTTCTGCCTTACTCAGCACGAAGCATTGGTTTTGATCAAATGGTTTTCTCCAATCTTCAGTAAAAATCCACATCTCCACCAAAATGGCAGGTTTGAAATACAGTGTATGACCCAGATTAGCAGGAGAATGCTACTTGAAAATTTCTACATATAATTTTAAAAGGAGTTTCTCCAGTCCTGACTTAACTGCTCAGATCAAGCCTTTTGTGAACTGAGCCCCTCAGTCTCTACTGAAGCCAAAGTTGAGGTTGTTCAGCACCTTTCTGAACTTCATAATAAGATATGCTTCTGGGGCTTACTTTGCAAGTTTGTTTGTTTTTTTAACATGCATGCATTTGACATTTCTTCTAGGGATCCAACTCCCATGCACCATTTCACAGACTGAAATCTGTAGATAACATTCATTTACCTGCTTCATACACACAGCATTTCCTTGCTTCTGCCTAATAAACTTCAGGCTACTTTCTTCTTGAAAAAAACTGGTATTTGCATATCTTGCCATAGCTATTCATTTGGGTTTAATGTACAAGACATATCCATGCAGCAGCTGTGCCTACAAACTACCACAAGAAACTGAGATACTAGCTATAAAAAATTGTGTTACGTACATCTTTGCCTCCACAAAGCAAACACGCTATACAAATACTGTCTTATTCCGGATAACAATGCTGATGTCAAAAATTATTTAGATTGGAAGCCTGCTTTGTCAGATTGCAACACTGAAATATTTTAACAGCCTAAAAGACCATGCATGTTAACATGCTAGTACATTGCGCAATTTTTATTTTTACATAGAAGACCCCAGAGCCTGAATATGCAGGTAGTGCCTACGTTTCTACTAAACAAAATATAAATGTCAACGACATATTTGGATGTGGCGACTTTCTTTAGTGAAGAATTGGAGATTTCAAAAAAATAATTTTTATTTAGTGAGATAAAAATACACAAACATTACTACTTGGTGGTTCGTTAACTTATTCCTCTCTCTCCTTTGGCTACTGGGCTGGAACCAATTCTCTTTTCCCAAAAAACTGAAACAGTCTTCTGGCTTCTAATGTTGTAGATGTGAGTTCAAACTGTCAACAAAAGTGGCTGTCTTCAAAAAAAAAAAATCTTATATGAATTGTTCTCACTCATGTCCGAGTCACAGTGTTTGCATACATGAGGCTTAAAGAACAAAGCACAAAAAAGCAATAGTTTAGCATGTATTTTTAAATCCCAAATGATGGCAATTTACACACCCCAATTGATTCTGCTATTAGGCAGTTTCCCAAAGGACTAGGAAACTGTGCTTCTCAGATATACTATCTAAACATCCTGCTGCTCTGGTCCTGCTCCACCACACACTGACGTAAAATCTTCTGCAATGTAAACAGTCATCAGGCATCCTACAGTGTTCTGGTTTGAACAATCTGTGTCCCGCCACAGAGGGTATGAAGATTCTTTTAGGGTCATGACGCAGCATATCTATCTAGATACACACACGCACACACACACACTAGGGCTGTACAAAATTTCGATGGGCGTTTCATTTCAAAGCTGTTTCAGCGTGTTTCGAGCTCGAAACAATGAAATCAAAATAAACTAAAGCCTTCAAAAAGCAGCTTCAAATGAAACAAGGGCACTCGAAACATTTTGAAAGTTTCAAAAAGTTTTGAGTTTCGAAGCTGGGCATACTAGACTTCAGCACGGGTCTCAGCAAGCAACGGCAGCCTGCTGTCATCCCTCACGCAGATCCAGGGGCAGTGCCCCCCAGGAAGAGTCTGGCACAGCTCTGCAGCCTTCCCGGGGGTGCGGGCCCCTATATCTGCGCGCCAGATGACAGGAGGCTGCCAGGAAGGTTGCTGCTGGCTGTGGGGCTGGCATTCCGGTGTTAGGAGGCAGGGGAGAGCCAGTGGTGGAGCCGCTCTGAGCAAAGCCCTGGCTCCGAGTGCAGCTCTGGCCAGTGGCTCTCCCCCACCTCTCAATGCTGGGCTGAGCTCTGTGGGGCTGGAGGAGCCACTCGAAGCACAGCCCTGGGTCTCCCCCACCTCCCACCACTGAACTGCACTCCAACTGGTTCCACCAGCCCCACAGAGCTGAGCCCAGAAGCGGGAGGCAGGGGAGAGCCACTGGCCAGGGCTGTACTAGGACCATGGGCTGTGCTCCAAACAGCTCCACCACTGACTCTCTGCCGCCTCCCGCCA